TCATTCAAGTTGGTGCATCGACCTGGCAAAAACTTGAGTCACGCCGATGCCCTTAGTCGCTGCCCCCTACCAGTCCCAGTCGAAGACCCAGCACCGGTTCACGCCATTTTTGAAGTTAATGAACTTAAATTACCGGTTACAGCCGAGGACATTGCTGCGCACTCAAAAAAAGACAAGATAATTGCCCAGGTACTGGACTGGGTGGGAAGGGGGTGGCCGGAAACTCAATGTACCGTTGACTTTGCTCCTTTTAAAACCCGTAAGCAGGAACTATCGAAGCTACAAGGATGTCTGTTGTGGGGTACAAGGGTAGTCATTCCAGCCACTCTTCGTGTACCCATCCTGAAAATGCTTCACGAGGGCCACCCGGGCATCGTAAGGATGAAGGCTCTGGCCCGCAGCTACGTTTGGTGGCCCGGCATGGATGCCCAAATCACCAGCTGGGTAAGCTCATGCCAACCTTGCCAAGAAACCAGGGCTGCCCCACCAGCTGCCACACCCACCAAGTGGGAGAGTGCTAGTGCCCCTTGGTCTCGCCTGCACATCGACCTGGCTGGACCGGTGCATGGCAGGACCTTCTTGGTGGTAGTGGACTCCTACTCCAAATGGATAGACCTGGCCCTGCTACCCTTGACTACCACTCAAGAAATAGTTAAGGCTCTGACCCGCTTATTCGCTACCCACGGACTCCCTGACACGCTGGTGTCTGACAATGGCCCGCAGTTCACGTCATGTGAGTTCAGTATGTACGTTGCTAACTTGGGCATCAGACACATACTTACAGCCCCCTTTCACCCCGCTAGCAATGGGATGGCTGAGAGGGCAGTCAGGTCAGCCAAGGAGGCACTCGCCAGATTTGGCCAGGAAAACTGGCACACTAAACTGTCACGTTACCTTCTGAGCCAACATACGACGCCATGCACCACTACTAATAAATCCCCTGCCGAACTCTTGATGGGGAGACGCCTTAGGACCACCCTGGACAGGTTGCATCCCCACTACTGCCCAGACGCCCCTTTAGGGTCTGACAGTCTGGTCAGAGACTTTGTCCTGCATGACCTGGTGTACACCAGGAATTATGCAGGGGATCCTTTGTGGGTACCAGGTCAAGTTGTGTCAGTCACAGGTCCTAGATCCTACAGGGTCCTGGACCAACTCAGAAGGCGATGGAGAAGTGCGACTGATGCCGACCCAGCCCAACCTTCCAGCACCAAGGACTCCCTGCCGGTACCAGTCTGCTCAGACGGAAGCTCCCTGCAGGACCCGGTCTACCCCGTCGACCAGGAGAGTTTGCTGGAGGACCCGAGTTTCCAACTAGAGACACCGAACCAACAGCCAAGCGAACCTGTTTGCCAGCCGGACCTAACGGCTCGCCAAGGTCAGCCCGAACAGGGGGACTTACCGAGCTCGCAGAACACCACACCTGACCTAGCCCATTCCCCAACAACCTCCGAGGCAATTCCCGGGGGCAAGGACTTGACGCCAGCCAGCAGTTTACCCGGGTTGCGACGTTCTTGTCGCCAGCGCAGACAACCGACTTACCTAAAGGACTACGCATGTGCCCAGCTGGGGGAAAGGAGTGTTATGTCTTTGGAACTGGTTGGAGTCCCCAACTAGGTCCGCTGTTTGAGCGGGAGCACCAGCCGCTCCCATTGGCTGGCTCCGTTTGACAGCCGGCTATAAAAGCCGGCTGTCGAGCAGAGCCAGCCCGTTGCCGCCAGCTAACCTGCTAGTTAGAAGGCAGACGCGGCAACCCTTTATTCCCTGTAATAAAGCCTGTTCGTTGTTCACTCTGGCTCTTGCCTCTTCCTTCCGCCGCTCTACAACAGTTACTATCACTGATGCTATAGTAAAAACCTGCAGGGGGTTGGCCAAAAAAAATTTATATAAATAGAGCAGGGGTACATAAGATAAGGCAAGGGAAAACTTATTTCCACTTAGAAAACTTTAAAATAAGAACAAATATGGGTAAAGTGTATGATGGCTTGTCTTGGTCATTAAATCGACAAATTTCCCTAAATCACAATTTGTTTTACCTATTATTTGTTGAATCAGCCTTAAGGGTTACCTTCATATTTAGCAGTGGTCATATAGCACAAAAATAGTCTTTTTTAAATGGAGCTCAAATCCATCAAGTTTTATTTATATAAAAATAGTATTGCTTCTAAATAGATATAACCTGTACATTTCCAATATGAATGGCTAGGACACTGTATTCTCGTAAACCTATAGCTAAACTGATTATACAATCCATTCCCCTTCTGCCTTTCTCACCGTTACAATAGATTTTAGCAGTGCTCAGAATGTCTTCAATACACACAATTATGGTCTTGAACTGGTACATATTCATTGTCATTATCTGAATGTAACCCAAGACTATTATTTTGAAAATTGTTCTGAATGTAAGCAGAATCAATCCCGTTTGGGGGAATAAAAACCTTTAATCAACAGCCATCTCTTAAAATCTTCCTATTTTTGCTCACTGCCTACTGCAGACTCAGTGCTGGAGAAGGAATAAATAGGAATTGAATTGACTTAAAAGTAAAACCCATGAATCTCAAGGTTGACTCAGCCTTCCAACCTTCCAAGGTGGGTAAAATGAGGACTCAGATTGTTGGGGTCTGACTGTAAACCGCTTAGAGAGGGCTGTAAAGCATTGTGAAGTGGTATATAAGTCTAAGTGCTGTTGCTATTGCTGAGTGCTATCTCTTCATGGAGCTGGAAAATTTCTGGCTGAGATCCTAGGTAGTCCTAGACGTTCAGAGTCCACTTAACTCTCCCAGAAACAAATGATCTAGTGAAACTAAATAATGTCCTCTTCTTACGTTGTAAGATGCTTCTGATCCAGGACTATGAAAACAAAGGAAAATTCTCTTTCTCTTGACAATCTTTTCTGGCTCAAAAGATGAAAGGTGAATGAATTTTAATCAAATGTCTATGAACAGATTGGAAAGTGATTTCTGGCACAGCTTTCTAGGTGAGTTATCTGTGAGTCCTTTTCTAGGATGAGTCCAGGTTATTTGCTAGATTGAGTATAGTTGTCAGGTTCTTCTCAATTCACTGAATCAGAAATGGAAGGCAAGCAGAGGTAGCCACCTATTCACAGCCACTATCTTTTCTCCAGCCAGTCGGGGTAGTCTTTATCTTGTTTTGAGATATTATCCCCAGTAGACATGACAAGCAGTTGTTATTTTGAAAAAGCATTCTCCTGTGGAATCCCAGTGTAGCAAAAATTTTAAAGAAAGCAATAAAAACTCCAGAGGCCAAAAGCTTGAAAGAAATTCATTTCAGTATTCTGTGAAGAAAGTTTTGGATCAACTATGATCAAGGTGCAGAAGAACTATAAGAAGAAGTTAATGTAGCTCATTCACATCATTTCTTTGTTGTACATCCTGTTCTCAATATTTTGAGAGCAATAATTTTGGAAGCTGAGAGCCTGTTCTATCTGCCCTTTTTCTGTCTCAAAGAGTCAATTGCCAGGGTCAATATAACTAGTTCAAAAGTCTTGAATACTCAATCTAGAAGATAGTGCAACATGTTGAGAATTAGCTTTGCAAAGCATAATAAAGAAGAAACTATCAACTTACAATTTTGGAACATGGCTTCCGCCCACCATAGCAATGGGAGATTGAGGCTCCACTATGAGAATATGCCCATGGCAAACAGGAAATGGAACATCTTTATATCATATTAAGCAAGCTGGATGAATTGACTTGGATTTTATTTAATTTATAATTTATATGAAACAAATACAAATTGTGTGTATTTAATATTTCAACAATTTCTTGAATAATGCCATTATGCACTTGGTGACTGCTCTGTTTTTATTAGGATATGCAGTGATTGATTCTGCTTTTATATTTAATTTTTACATTTGTTCTCTTGTTTAACACTGAATTATTGCATCTTTATCTTTCATTCCTACTTTTATTTTTTAGATAAATTTGTCCTGTTAAAGCCAAACCTAATAGTAACATAATGTCAGCCTTCAAGATTTTCTTCCTTTGCTTTGCATCTTTCGGCTGTCATAAGTAACTGGGGGAGGAGGGGGGACCTGGTTATGGGAAGTGAGCTGGAGGTGTTACAAAACAGAATTGTATAAGTTGGGGAGGAAGGTTCTTGCTTAGGCTTCTATCCTATGCTATGCACAGCTGCAACTCTTTATTAAAATATGTCAGGGTCAACGGACAAAGGCCTCATCACCACCTGGAGATGCCCACATGAAGCTATAAACAACTTTTAATTGGATGAGCCAATTGAACTATTGGGGGTGGGAAAGTTGCCATCACTTTGTATATGTGATTTATGCACTCATTTTCTCAGATTCAGAATTCTTTTGTTGCTACCACTCGACTTCCAGTAAAAGTTATCTTTTCTCTAATTAATGGAGTCTAAGTATTTCTTTCTTAGATTTTGAATGGAGCACCATCTGACACATAGTCTTATTTTTATGCTAATCAGCATCAACCAGATTTGCATGCAAAATACTGTAGTTTTAAAAATCAAACACACAAAATTTCATGACCAACAAGAAAATAAAATTTATTCTTCTTTATGTATTATTTAATTGTTTACAAGCAAGATATTGAAAACAAAGATATTCTTCATCATAGTGTGTATAAAAACTTAAGAAGATTAAGGGAAGATAAATATTCAAATAATCTGGCAAGGGACTTCAAAACATTTATATAAAAGATACCTTAATGGAACATTGCTGCCAGAGCCATTCAGAATTAGCAGCATTGGATGGGCAAGATGTAAATGGTGTAGCACAAGGAGAAGTACACTGATTCCATATCATTTACTCCACAGACTATACGTGCATCGGCAGTGCAATTTTGCACAAGTCTAGCATTAAAAAGGCACTGATTTCTAGATGCATTGGTATATCTTCCCCTTGTCATCTAAATAAAATTTTAAATGAGATTATCCTACTCAAAACAGTTTTATCCACCCTGACCAGGAAATAAGCCTAAGTAGCTTTTGAAAAATTTTCATAGATCTCTGCTATTAGTTATAAAGATTATAGAAATAATGAAAGGTATTTCTGCAGATGAATATGTGTTAGTTCAAAAACCAACTTGTTTTATCAGCTGAAAAAAAATCTCAACAAACATTTATATATACTCTTAATACCGGTATTTCTTTAAAAAAAAACCAGATCTCCAAATAATGAATTCTAGTAAAGTTATTTAAATTCAACACAAAAGCTACATACCTAGCAGTTGGTTAATTTGAAAACACTAAAGTATAAGAGTGTTACAATGTGGGGCAAATTACCATATTTGTTATGATATTTAATTTTGCCTAATTTTGTGGGTTTTTTCTTTTACTCAAGAGAAAATCTCTGGAAGCTCTATGCCCCAAGAAAGTGTCCTAGGATTGCAGTCTTATTTTTTGTTTTGCAATAACATTCTTGGGAAGAGTAATGTTTTCGATGCTTTTAAGTTAAACGAAGAGCTTTTTAAAGCAAGAGTTACAGTAGGTTTTTTCATTCTGCTCCTGAAAAATACCATTGTGCAACTGAGTAAGGCAAAAGGCACAAACAAAATGCTCTGGGTGAAACTTGTGCCCCATGGCACTGACGCACCGTCCAACAATAGGTTTTCCACAACCATGGCACACTGTTCCCTGATGTTGATGGAAGTGAAGCTCACAGTATGGCTGACCTTTCAGTTCAAAGAAAGAACCATCAGTAAAACTGCAGAAACAATCCTGAAAATAGAGGAAAGGAGCTTGTGTCAAGGTATAGAAATATTTCTGAGATTGGAATATCGTTAGATTCTTCCCAGTGCTGCATTGGGTAGAGGCACATTGATTGCTAGTCCACTACTATTTAAAATAAACAACATTGAGAGTTTTTATTCTCTAATTCGTTATTTTCTTCTTGGAATTATGTTTGAAACATAAACCCATCCAGGATAGAAGCTTACAAAAACAATTAATCCTACCCAAGGTAGGATTTATTCAAGTCAACATAAGGACACTCAAGAATGGGCCCACTTTTTGCTAATATTACAGTTCAAATTGTGTTGTAGTATTCTCTTCCAGCTTTAACAAAATTAACTTGCTATCACCAATATTTGGATGGTGTGTTTATATGTGGCTGTGTATGCATGTAGGTATGTGTGTACATACATAAAAATATACCTTTGTAGCGCAGGTTTAATATCAGATTTTAATATTTTTAGTTTGAGAGACTTTCTTATATCAAGATACAAATAACACATTAATTAGCTGGCATTTAAGAAGTCTAATTATATTCAGGGGTTGTGACCAAAATCTATCTGGAGCCCCTTAGAAATTGGCTGTACCACTAAACCCAATCCCACCACATAAATGTCCCTTAATTACCATCTACCCAAACAGGTACTAACTCTGGGTGATTCCATATACTTACTCTGCACACAAAACATTCAGGATGCCATACGGCATTCAGAGCTGACAAATATTGATTCATCACAGGACGATCACAGCCTCTGCATTTGGGAGAAAAAATGCTCTGGAAATCTTTCTGGCAGTATGGCTTTCCATCTTTCACCTGGAAACCTACAGAAGAAGGTTTGGGAACATAATAATTAAAAACAGTGAATTAGTCACACAGACACAAAGGCATGCTATCTCTTTGCTTGGAAAAGCAGTACAAAAGGAGAGGCTCTTTTATTAGGATCAGTGATCTTCAGACTAGTTCAACATTGATCTGTTCAAGATCTTGGTTCTCAAAGCAAGAAGTATTTTGACATGTAGTTCTTTTTATGAGTTATTGCAAAATGCAGGAGTGAATGTTTTGCCCTAAAGGCAAAAACAGGGTGGAGACAGGAAGAGAAGGAGAGGGAGATGGAGACTTAAGAGACTGGTAGAAAGGAATCTGTAATTAATGGTTTTCTATTAGCTTCCATACAAGAAATGCAGTAGAAGATATTACATCACTGGCATTTAATTCTAATTAGATTAGCATGAATGATCCATAGTCATTCATCAAATTGTTATAGGGCTTGGAATCCGAAAGGAACATTTTTTCAGTATGGTAGACTTGTAAAAAGGTGATGAATTATTGGAAGATGCTATTTAAAGTTAGAATAATAACTAAACAAAAAATAGAATATGTTCGAGAGTTGTGATTATTACATATTTTTGATGGCAATAACTCTAAATAAAAAGGAGTTAATTGTATTCTTACTCCTGGCTGCAGAATTGAAAATTGCTTTAAACTGGAATTTCTAGATAACCTATAATTGAATAATTAGCATGCAAAAGTATGGCCAATTGTTCTCATGGAAAAAGTGACTGATAAAATTTGAAGGCTGACTTCTCTAAGTGCTGAATCACAGTTTTATTGGTTCTGGAAAGATTATATACAATAAGTTGTGCTTCTAATAATAACTTTTCTACTGATAAATTGAATGTTATGTAACCTATGATCAAATGTTGACAGTTAGGCACTGTTGTTTTATATTCTTCTTTCTTTCTTTTTGTTTTACAGAATATTAAACATTAAAAAAATAAAAATAGGTTGTGGTATTCTACAATATATAATAAAGGAAGCAATAAATGTTTAATGCACGCATGAATGACTTATAAATTTAAAAGTCTAGTTCTAAAAATTACACCTGTAATAGAATAGCTGGGGCTAGCAATGATGAATTGAGACAAGTGGGCAAAGAATCTGGTTATAGGTTGGATATAATCAGTGGTGGGATTCAAATTTTTTTACTACCGGTTCTGTGGGAGTGGCTTGATGGGCATGGCAGGGGAAGAATATTGTAAAATCTCCATTCAGATGTGGTATTTGCTGGTTCCCTGAACTGCTCAAAATTTCCGCTACCGGTTCTCCAGAACTGGTCAGAACCTGCTGAATACCACCTCTGGATATAATATTAGATCACATGTGCTTGAATTCTATGTTTGCTGGAGGTTTTGAATAGTGGTAGCTTCATTGCTTCCTGGGAAGAAAATGTCCAAAATGGCCACATATGGTTGCACTTCAGTGTCTGCATGGTGAGCAATGAGGCTGCCCCTATGTTATTGCCACACCCTTCAATCTCTATTTCCAGATGAGCCCCCACTCACAGCCAGAGGAGGTGTGCTCTTGGTGCCAGGTTGATAAGGACTGAGTTTCTCAGCCAGAAACCTCCAGCTAGAATCTACTTTGGATAGTTACCTTCGATATACCAGAAACAGCTAGATACACAGACAGGTGATTAAATATTTCTGCTGGTTTCTAAGATTGAAAGACTTAATTAGAACATTGACTTACAGAACACAGAATAACAGAGTAGGAAGGGACCTAGGAGGTCTTCTCAGTCCCCAAGTCTTTATTAATTATTTATTGTTGATTAATAGTAATTAATGGTTTGTTAATAATTATTTATTATGTATTATTTTATTGCACAGCTTAATAACAGAAATATTATCATAATCCCAATTATCTGGAGTAGCTTTTAAAATGCAACAGAAAACTGGAATAAACTGGCAAAAAATGAGATCTTAGATCTCTGTGCAGCAGTATAACTCGGGGTGTTCGGAGATCTCATTTTTGCCAATGCATGTAGAGTGTGTGCAATATACAAAAACTCGGCATGAAGGGATTTCTATATATTCTATGTATTGGCGACCAAGCTGGAGAAAGAAAGTAATGCCGATGTGCATTCCTGTACCTTTGTGAGTATGATGGAGCTTTTCATTTTCTAGGGGAAAAAGCAGGCCCCTTTTTACAAGCCAACTTGCCCTAGATAAAGGTTTCATGATGTACTAGAATGAAATACTTTGAACATAAAATACAAGCATGCTGAGAATGTTAATGGATATAGCAATAGCAACTTAGACTTATAAAGCTTCACGGTACTTTACAGCCCTCTCTAAGCAGTTTACAGAGTCAGTATATTTCCCCCAACAATTTGGGCCCTCATTTTACCCACCTTAGAAGGCTCTCATTTTACCCACCTTAGAAGCAAGGCTTCAGCACGATCCCTGCTGCGCTCGCCGCCGAGGTGCCTCCGATCCGTTTGGATTTGGAGGATATAGCTGCCCTGTAGAGGCAGCTGAAGATAGGGGGAACCTGGACAGGGGTTTGGGAGTGTTGCAGACCCCTTCCCCAGCCGGCAAAACCCCCTTTTCCCAAGGCGGTGGAGCGGCGGTCAGCAATGGCCGCCACAAAGAAGCCTGCAGCTGGATAAGATCGTGCAGGAGGAAGAAGGTGAAAGTTTTTTTTTTCTGGCTGAACCGGACAAAGAGGAGCTTTTAAAACCTGGAGATTTGCCTTTTTTATTGCTACATTGCTTCCCAGAAAGACTGTGCAAGTGGTGAGAAAGCTGTGAAAGGGAAAGTTATTTCTTCTCACTCTCCTTCCCTACAGAATAGCAGATGGAAATCTGGAAATCCTGCTTGGGCAAAAAAGGTAAATAAACCTAAAAATTAAAGCCAAGGGGATAAAAGATTTTGGAACATTGGAACTAAAAATCAAAGCTTATTGCTATAAGTGGGAAGGAAGAGGTAAAAAACTTATTCTAAGACTCCATTGAAGAAGACTGCTTGAAGTTTTTAAGATTAGAAATTAATGACAATAAGGCTTCTAAAAAATCATTTTGAAATTGTCTAATTGAATCTCACCCAGGAGGAGGGAGAAAAAGAAGAAGAAGAAGAAGAAGAAGAAGAAGAAGAAGAAGAAGAAGAA